CAGTGTTGCATTGTCATTCTTGTATTTCTCAACAAAGTTTACATATTCAAGCAGAGATGGGCCAAGTAAAGGCTCAATCTCTTGCTTTATAGCTGCGCAAATGACACAAGCTGAAACATGAAGAAAAGGGGATCCTCCCTTGAAACCTTCTGTCAGAACACAGGAGTCCTTCCTGGGGCAGTGAAGGTGTGAGAGCACTAGAGACGCAAAATCCCCCAAACCCACAGCCTAGTACCTACCTCCCTCTGAAGCCAGGAGCAGGACAGCCCCAAGCAACAGGAGTGCACCAGGGAGTGCCATGGTAATGATGGCAGGTGCTCCTACCTAGCTCAGGCCCCTTCTATACTTGCCCTGGGCTGCTCAGTGGGCAGGCAGGGGCTGTGTCTGAGCCCCTCCAGACTCCTCCACGATCACTGTATGAAACTCCCTAGGGCTTTGTCAGGAGAGATGTGTATTTTGGCAAGAGGATAAAATCCTGGTCAACAAAGGGCCTTGTCTCAGCCTGGTGCCTCTCTTAGTATTCTGCTTAATGTCACATGTCACATGAAGACCAAAGGAAAATTTGAGTAAGGAGCCAGGCAACAGGCCCCTCAACTAAGCCTCCAGAGTGAGCCCTAGGTCACCCTGTGAGGATGGGAACTCAAGGGTTACTTAAAAGTCTCCCTAGTAGTCAATGTCTAGGATAGACCAGATCACAGACACTTGGGGACCCCTGCTCTGACTGTTTCTGTCCCTAACCCCATCTTTCCCTTGCTTCTTGGCTTCCTTGAACCACTCTCTAACCCCGAAGTCCTCCTGCTGTAGTAGTCATTCTGCAGCTTGATCTGTTCATTGTTTTGAGGTAGCATCACTAGTAATTACCCTCCTGTCTGAGAATATCTGTGTAGACCAGGCTGGCTTTGAACTCAGATATCCACCTGCCTCTGCCTCCTGAGTGCTAGGATTAAATGTGTGCTCTACACAGCCACACTGGTCCTCTTAAACCTCTATTTGATGTTTCTGGGATTTTTCATATAGGATCTGGCCCAGGTTAACCATGTGTTCATAAAATTCCTAACAAGGGAGGAAGGGGGAGTGTGTGTGTGTGTGTGTGTGTGTGTGTGTGTGTGTGTGTGTGTGTGTGTATGGTATGTGTTTAGGACATGGATGTGTGGTTTGTATGTGTTTCTGTAATATGTATGTGTGCTGTGGGGGGTGCATGTGTGTTGTTTTGGGTGTTGTGTGTATATTGTGTGTTTATGGTATGGAGTTTGTGGTGCATGTTTGTGCTGTGTTATGTGTATGTCTGTATGTGGTGCTGGTATATGTGGATTGTGTGTGGAATGTGTGTGTGTGGCATAGGTGTGTATGTATGTGGTTTACTTACATATGTCTGTGATGTATGTAATATGTGTGTGTTTCTGAGTTGTGTTTG